CTACGGATAAACCACCTGCCAAATCTAACACGCCTATTTCGACTTAGCCGCCGTAGGTTACGCGAGAGTTGGATTAGTTTAGCGACAGCTTCGCCGATTTCCGGAATCACAGTATCTATAAACCTGAAAGGGAATGCTCGAAGCCATTCGCTTTTCTGATATGAAATTTAAAGATAAATTGTTCGGCTACTATCCATTGCCAGTTCTCGCTCTTACAAAAGTTGAAGGAAATAAGATCCAATTGAAAGGGAAATTCAAGGAGAAAATGAATAGTAATGATAATATAACATATCGTCTATATAAAAGATACATCGATTTCAATACCGATAGGATTCTAAAGATGCTTATCAATATTGATGAACGGTCAAGTTCTTTGTTTTTGGTAAGAAGAATTCACATTGTTAATTAAATTGAAAATATTTAAATATTCGATAGTTTATGAAGTTATTATATTAGGATCTCTTAAAAGATCCAAATAAATGGGGATCTACTCTACCTGAAGAACACGATGATTCAAAGAAATTAAAGTCTACCGCTTTGGCACTGAGAAATGCATTTTCTATGTCACCATCACAAAAAGACATTTCAGAAAGTTTATTGAAAAAAAGACTACAAATTATCTGGGGTCCACCGGTAATTATATTTTAAATTATTTATTTGTTTTTTCTCATTATAACAATGGATCATTATCATTTACAATAAGGGATCTGGAAAAACTCACTTCCTCGCGTTGTTTGTCACATGGTACCTGACTGAAGTAAAACCTCAGCCGGTAGGAAGTAATAGAAATTTTAATATTGGAATTACGGCTTGTACCAGAACTGCCATAGACAATTTATTGGAACGTATTGCTAAAGTCAAAGATGAAGCACAAGCAGATTTTATATTGACTCGAATGGTTAGCGAGTTAAATAAAAATTCACTTAATGGTGTGAAGGATTATAAAGCTATAAAACTGGCGGATAATATTGCAAATGAAAAAAATTGTATCACCAGTAAACCAATAATTATCGGAGGCACAGTGTGGGACTGGCATAAATTTCATGATAAATGTAAGAACTGGACAGGCTGTGATATTATGATTATAGATGAAGGATCGCAGGTAAGTGTTAATGTGCACTAATGTATGTATACACTTGTAAAATTTGTAAAGCCATGTAACACAAAATTGAACAAAATTCTATTATTGTTGTATTTAGAGTCTAAGGTTTGGGTGGTTCGGGAATAGTTTATACCAAAATTACACGGAAATTTTTATTTTTGTTAAAGCCCTAAAGGCTATTTATTAGTAAAATTTTATGTTACTTCGTGCAAATTTAGTTTTCCGCTTAACAGATCTCCACTCTATTTTTTAAAGAATTTGTATGAAACATTGTATAACCTTTCAAATTGCAGTATTAATTGTCTATTTTTTATAGAATTATTATGTTTTTATTAATTTGTGTTTTTTTTATACCCTCTCTTATTCTCATGAGCTATTTTATGTTATGTTGAACAGAAAATCAATTTGGAGTGGCCTTATTTATATATCTATGTTTTCATACACTAGTGTGCGAATAGAAATCGTTATTTATGAATTTATTATAAATGAACATTATTAAGCATAAAGATCTCCTTTTTTAGCTTCTAACTTCAGATGCTTGTGCTGCCTTGGAATGTTTGAACCCAAATGGTGGAAGACTAATTATTGCTGGAGATCATATGGTATATTTGTACAGTTTCCTATTGATATTTATAAAACTTAAATTACTAAATGATTATGAAATAAACGTTTTATTTGTAGCAACTTGGACCCATCATTCAGAATACATATCCTGTTTTTTCAGATAATCATCCGCTTATTCTAGGGTCAATTCAACAATGCTTGATGAGAAAAGAGGATGGCTCTACATTTGATGAAAGCGACTTTTTTCTAAATAAAGGACAAAAACATGATTTTGGTCCATGTACGCTTCAGCTTAAAGATAATTGGAGAATGGTATGAAAATATTTTGGAATCTTATTATATAGTTAGGTAAATTTATGTAACAAAAGATTTTATTTTATAGAATGACAAATTAAATAGCTTTTTCCAAAAAATATATGGTAATCACTACATTTCGAGAAATCCTAATTTGAAATTGGATTTTGAAGATTATAAATTATCACGCATAGATGATCCAATTATAAAGAATATATTGTCACCTGAAACTGCAATAACTTTAGTAAAGTTGTCATTAAAAAATTATGAAGTCCCGGGAATACTTTCAGAAATAATTTTACGAGAAGAAGCCAATCTTGTGGCTAAAATAGTTTCATCATATTTTGATGCAACTCGTAAAATAAACCAGTCAGATAAACAACCATCCCTGTTTATTGTTACGCCACATCATCGTCAACGATATGCCATCCGATCTCGAGTTGATAAATATTTATCTAATTCTGAAATCGATTTACAAATAAATACTGTAGAAAAAATGCAAGGACAGGAGGCAGATCTTGTTATTGCATGTTTTGGATTTCTTGATGTTAATGAAATTGCTCGAGAATCTGATTTCTTATTCGATCGAAATCGTTGGAATGTGGCCATAAGCAGAGCAAGGTATAATATTCAATTGGATTTGGTCAATCATTTATATTATAATTATCAGATGAATGTCACCTAATGAAAGCTAGGAAGTTTATATATAGAATCATTTATTTTATTGTAATCTATATTTAGGCTTTTTGACTTTCATTTTGGAGCATTCAAACATATAAATTAACTAATTACTGTGTTGACTCAATATTAAGCGTGATCACAAAAAATGTTATATCTTTTTATAGATGTAAAGTCATATTGTTAACTACTGATGAAATATTATACCCAGAAGGTTTGTGTAGTTTTAATTTTATAATTATTTCGAAAACCGTTATATTGATATTTTATTTAGATATATTTTCTGATTTGAATTTTTAAAGATATGGAGATATTCACAAATAAAAAAACATCTGAAGGGTGGTTGTATATTTCAATGATAGAATCCTGGGTTCGAGAAAGAATTAAAGAAAAGGAATCAGAAATAATTGAATGTGTAATTGATGAAAATCTTGTGATAGAAAATGATACTAGTAATCTAGAGATTAATAATTGATTCTCCAGAGCATAGCGAAAAACATCAAAATGGCACAAAGCTGTATTTTTTAAATTCATATTTAAATATGGTTTTGATTAATATTATTAATTTCTTAAATACCGCATCAAAAGCATCATATTGAAATTCATGTGTGCATATATACACTTTTGTAGCTTTATACAGTATCAAATTATTTGGATATTCTAAACTATGCGGTGACTAATATTAAATAGAATATTTGGCTTATTTAGAGATTTATAAGTTTTTGCTCACAAGTTTTACACTTTAGGTAATGTTATTTCTGTAATTTTAAGAGAAGAGAGTCATATCACATTCTTATATTATATATAAAAATTATGAGTAGTTACTAATTCGATCACTTAGGGATCTGACTTTTTAATATAAAAAATGAGTGACGAAAAGAGAAAACTATAAATCATTTCACTTTTTGAGTGAGATGATTTATAGGTTTTCCTTTTCGTTACTCAAATAATAGTTTTTTAATTAGAGTTGAAAAAAGACTTCAATTTGGTAGTTTTGAATATTATTCACTGTATTTTAAATAATTTTGTTAATAACATTGAACTCAATTGATTAAAACTTCATTAATAGTAATTTTGAACCAGATCTACTTTAAAAAAATAAATTGATTTATTTTTACAAATTTTTATATGCTTTTACCTTGTGTATAAATATTGTAACTAACCTATTACTTTGTTATATCTATAGAAAGCATTTATAACATATATGGGGAATTATCAATTAAAACAGCCCTTTTTTACATGTAAATCATTTTGAGTAAATCGGGTTTAAAAAAAATATAATATAAACAAGATTTTTGATCTAAAAATAACATTTCACGGTTCTAGAAATTCTAGAATATACTGATCAGTAACTTGTAACTTTAATTTATTTTAGTGTACGATCAATAAAATTTTCATTATATTGTTCTTGTCAGGGTTTTTTTTTGTTTTTTTTGTTACTATAGTTAAACCTTATCCAATTATATATAAATATATAAAAAAACATTTTCTAGTAAACCTTGTAGACTTTTACTAATCTTTTGGAATTGGTTCATAGATCTTTTGTTGGAGAACTTTCTTGCAGACTTTCCTCTTGGTTTTCAGCATTTATTAATAAGTAAACTTTCTTCTGATCTTTTGATTTTTAGACTTTTACTAAACTTGTGGAATTTCTTGTTTTTGGTGTTTTTGAACTTTCTTGTGAACTTTCTTTCTGTCTTTCAATATTTTTGGAGAACTTGCAGAGTTTCCTCTTGCTATTTGTATCTTTTTTGGAGACCTTTCTTGTAAATTTCTTCTTGTCTTTTTGGCATTTAGTTTATGGACTTTTCTCTTGTCTTTCAATATTTTTGGAGAACTTGCAGACTTTTCTTTTGCCTTTTGTATTTTTTTTAGAGACCTTTCTTGTAGACTTCTCCTCTTGTCTTTTCAGTGTTTAGTTTGTAGACTTTTCTCCTGTTTTTTGATATTTTTGGAGAACTTGCAGACTTTTCTCTTAACTTTCAGTGTTTTTTTTAGAGACCTTTCTTGTAAACTTTCCTCTTGTTTTTTTCAATGTTTAGTTTGTAGATTTTCCTTCTGTCTTTTGATGTTTTTAAAGAACTTATAAACTTTCCTCTTGCTTTTCATATTTAGTTTGTGGACTTTCTTCCTGTCTTTCGATATTTTTGGAGAACTTGCAGACTTTCCTCTTGCCTTTCAGTATTTTTTTTGGAGACCTTTCTTATAGACTTCCTCTTGTCTTTTCAGTGTTTAGTTTGTGGACTTTCCTTCTGTTTTTTGATATTTTTGGAGAACTTGCAAACTTTCCTCTTGCCTTTTAGCATTTTTTTTTGGAGACCTTTCTTGTAGGCTTTCCTCTTGTCTTTTTGCATTTAGTTTATAGACTTTTCTCCTGTTTTTTGATATTTTTGAAAAACTTACAGACTTTCCTTTTGCCTTTCAATGTTTTTTTTTTAGAAACCTTTTTTGTAGACTTTTTTCTTGTCTTTTCAGTATTAGTTTGTGGACTTTTTTTCTGTTTTTCGATATTTTTTGAGAACTTGTAGACTTTTCTATTGCTTTTTAGCATTATTTTTTTGGAGACCTTTCTTGTAGACTTTCCTCTTGTTTTTCAGTGTTTAGTTGGTAAACTTGGTGAAATCAAAGAAATATTCACAAGAAAGTTCAACCATTTTCTTGTGGATTTCCCTCTAGTCCTTCAGTATTTTTTTTTGAAGAATTCTTTTGTGGATTTCCCTCTGGTTCTTCAGTGTTTTTCTGGTGAATTCCTTGTGAATATTTCTCTGGCCCTTCAGCATTTTTCTGTCAAATTCTTTATATATTACTCTCTGGTATTTCAACATTTTTTTTTGGAGAATTCTCTTGTGGATTTCCCTCTGCTTCTTCAGCATTTTTCTGCCAAATTCCTTATGGATATTTCTCTAGTTTTTTAGCATTTTTCTGATAAATTTCATGTAGAATTTCTTCTGATATTTAGTTATTTTTTTTTGGACAATTCTATTGTAGATTTTCCTTTTGTCTTTCAGCATTTTTCTGGCAAATTTCTTGTAGATATCCCTCTGGTTCTTCAGCATTTTTCTGACAAATTACTTATAAAATCTCTCTGGTCCTTCAAGATTTTTCTGGTGAATTTCATGTGGATTTTTCTCTGGTATTTCGATGCTTTTTTTAGAGAATTATCTTGTGGATTTTCCTCTGGTCCTTTGGCATTTATTATATGTACTAGCAGATGCATATAAAGTATTGTCAATAAACATGCTTATTAAGATTGTTATTATTGTATTATAGGTACAAATGCACATAAGTTTTTTTTTACAATATAAAATTTTAATTAGATTAATTTTTTTCTATATAAATTGCATTATTATTGTTATAAATAAATTTTATATAATACAATAATAGAATAATAATTAAATTTTGAATGTTGTATATTGTATTGTGATTAATATGTATATAATTGAAATTATTAGTTATATTGATTAAAATATTTAAATTTTAAATTTTTATTTTGTAAAAATGTCTATTTTTTCTTTAAATAAAAATATTTTTGAAGAAACTCATAAAGAAAATACTTAATTACAAGCAAACCTTTCAAATTTACAATTTCAATTTTTAGTTTAAGAAAATGATAATTTACCTTTATCAGAATCATCTAAAATTTTAAAAATTACAGAAAATAATTTTTTAGAAAATAAGATTAGGATTAAAGAAAGGCTTTTAAAATTTAAAAAATTATATTATAAAAAAAAGATATTATTGAAAAATAAGATAATGATAATTAAGATTTAAAAAATGAAATAAATTTATTACAAAATAATGATTTTAAAAAATCTTTTGAAAAAATTTGTTGTGAAAAAAATTGTTTACAAACTCAAATTGAATATTTTGTAGCTTTAAAAGAATATTTAAATTTTAAAAATCTTACAAAATCTTTACAAGATATGTATTTATCAGATATAATTTCTGCTACAAAATGATTAGAAACAATTAAAAATTCAAAGAAATCTAAGCTTACTACAGAATATAGCTTTGAAGAAAAATCAATTTGCAAAAATGCTTTTAAAACAATTTATAGTCTTGGAGATACAAGATGGAAAAATTTAAGAGATCATTTTATAGAACATGATATAAATTTACATATTAATTCAAAAACTGAAAAAGTTGGAAATTCAACAATTTCTTTTAAAACTGTAATGAAAGTAATTACCTTTATAGGAAATTTTGCTAAACAAAATAGTTTATCATCTCCAGGTAATTTTTAAATTATTTTATTTATAATTATTTTGTTTATTTATAATAATTTTATTTTATTAATATTATAATTAATTTAAAATCTATTATTTTATTTATAATAAATTTAAATTTTATAGGACAAAGTTTTCGTAATAATACTATTGCTATTATATATTTACTAGCAAATACTACTTATTTATCTTTACAAACATAATATTTAGAAGCAATTAATACTAATGACCAATTTGAAATTAGTTTAATAACATTTATTAGAATTTGGAAAAAATTTTTATTATATATCAAAAAATTAACTCTACATAGTAATTTATGTTTAAAATATAAAGATATGAGATTTAATGCAAATTATTGGTCAATTGAAGAAAAAGAAACTAAAGTTTTAGAATGGCATAAATATATTAAATGGACACAAGAAGAACAAGAAAATTATAAGTAAGTAATTTTAAATTTATATAAATTATATTAGATTAAAATTTTTTATTTAAATTAATTATTAATTAAATTTTATAAATTATTTAAATAATTTTAATTTTTAATAAATTTTATAAAAATTATTTTTATAATTAAAAATTTTATTAGAAAATATATTAAAATAGTATATGAAGATATTAAAAAATTTGGAATTAAAAATATAATATGTCCTAGAAAACCAAATTCTTTAGATATTACAGTTCATTTTTCTTAAAATTATGCTCAACAAATTCAATTACCATATTTATCTCAATAAAAAGTAAATAATTTTATTAAATTTATAAAAATTTAATTATAAATACTAATAATTATTTATTAATTATTTTATTATAGGATGAAATTTATTTTAAATCTTTATACAAAGTTCATTTATTTGGAATATATGATGATGCATTTCTATGTCAAGTAAATAATAATATTTTTTTTATTATATAATTATATTTATATTAATATATTTTATAATTTCAGGTAAATTATCTTATTAAAGAAAGTGAATTAATTGGTAAAGGTGCAGATACTGTTATTTCTTTAGTTCGTAATTATTTTGAATTACATGGATTAGGAGAAAAAAAATTAATAATTCATGCAGATAATTGTTCTGAACAAAATAAAAATAATGCAATGATTGCATATTTAGCTTGAAGAGTTTTAATAGAATTATGTAATAGTATAACTTATTGTTTCATGGTTGCAGGACATACTAAATTTAGTCCAGATGGATTTTTTGGATTAATAAAAATACTTTTAAGAAAGTTTAAAGTAAATAATTTTAATAATCTAATTAATATAGTTTAAAATTCAACTTTTGGTAGATATAATATTACACAAACAATTTTTGATAATAAAGGAAATCAAGTTGTACATTTTTATGAATGGATAAATTGGTTAAAACAAATATTTACAACAATTTCAGAAATATCAAAACAACATTATTTTGAATTTAATAGTTTGAATAAAGAAAAAATTAAAATTAGTACATCTTCTAATAAAGAAAAAAACAACTATACAAATTGAAAAAATTAGATAAAAAGATAATTTTAATCAATTAATTGAAAAAAAATTAACTGGTCTTAGTGCAGAATGACAATGGTATTTATAAAAACAAATAAGAACTCATGTACAAAATCCTAACAAAAAAATGATTTATGTCCAATACCTACTATTATTAAACCAGAAAAATTTAAATAAAATTAAATATTAAAATGTTTTGTTAAATAAAATTAATAATTAATCAATTACAAAATTACATAATCAATAAACCAATTAATTATTAAGTTGTTAATTTAATTATAAGTTGTATAATAATATTAAAAAAAATCAATTTTATTGTAAAATGATATTATAATATAGTACAATAAATAATACAGATTTAAATATTAATTTTATTGTAAAATGATATTATAATACAGCACAATAAATAATACAGATTTAAATACTAATTTTATTGTAAAATGATATTATAATACTGCACAATAAATAATACAGATTTAAATACAGATTATACAAACAAGATAAAATTCTTTTAAAAATATTTAAATCTACAAACTAAATACTAAAAAGAAAAAAATTTACTAAAAAAATATTAAAAAGTCAGAAGAAAATTAACAAGAAAATTTTTCAAAAAATATACCAAATTATTAGAAAAAGGAAAACCAACAAACAATTCACCAGAAAACTACCAAAAAACAGAAAGAAATTCACAAAATAATTCTTTTAAAAAAAATACACTGAAATAACAAAGATATCTACAAGAAATTCACTAGCAGACCACCAAAGACCAGAGAAAAATCCACAAGAGAATTCTCTAAAAAAAACAATAAAATACCAGAAGAAAATCTACAAGAAATTCACCAGAAGACTGCTGAAGGATCAGATGAAAATCCACAAGATAATTCTACAAAAAAACACTAAAATACCAGAGGAAATCCACAAAAGATTCACCAAAAGACTACTAAAATACTAAAGGAAAATTTACAAAAGAATTCTCCAAAAAAATGCTGAAATACCAGAGGAAAATTCGCAAGATATTCATCAAAAGACTGCCAAAGGACCAGAGGAAAATCCACAAGAGAATTCTACAAAAAAACACTGAAATAACAGAGATATCCACAAGAAATTCACCAGAAGATCACTGAGGAACCAAAGGAAAATCCACAAAAGAATTCTCCAAAAAAAAATGCTGAAATACCAGAGAAAATTTATATGAAGTTCACTAGAAAACTACTAAAGAACCAGAAGAAAATCTACAAGAGAATTCTATAAAAATACACTGAAATATTAGAGGAAAATTCACAAAAAATTCACTAAAAGACCACAAAAGGACCAGAGGAAAATCTACAAGAGAATACTCCAGAAATAACAGAGATATCTACAAGAAATTTACCAGAAGACCACCAAAGGACTAGAGGAAAATCCACAAGAAAATTTTCCAAAAGAAAAATGTTGAAGGACCTAAGGGATATCCACAAGAAATTTGACAGAAAGCACTGAAATACCAGAGGAAAATCTACATAAAATTCACCAGAAAATGCCAAAGGATGAAAAGAATATCCACAAAAGATTTATTAGAAAAACACTGAAGGACCAAAGGGAAATCCATATAAAATTTACCAAAAAAATGCCAAAGGACCAAAGAGATATCCACAAGGAATTTGCCAGAAAAATGCTAAAGGACCAGATGAATATCCACAAGAAATTTGTCAGAAAAAAGCTGAGAGACCAGAAGAAAATTCACATAAAAATTTATTATAAAAAAAACTGCCAAAATATCAGAGAAAAATCTATATGAAATTTACCAGAAAAATGCCAAAGGACCAGAAGAAATTCACAAAAAAATGGTTAGTGAACTTTCTTGTGAATGTTTCTCTGGTTTTACCAAAAATGCTAAAAGACCAGAAGAAAATCCACAAGAAAGTTTATTAACTAAATATCGAAAAAATAAGAGGAATAACAAGAGATAAGTCTGCAAGGAAGTTTTCCAAAAATGTCGAAAGATAGAAGGAAAGTCTACAAGAAAGTCCTCCTAAAATGTCAAAAGATAGGAGAAAAGTCTACAAGAAAGGTTTCCAAAAAAAAAACACTGAAAGGCAAGAGGAAAGTTTGCAAGTTCTTCAAAGACAGGAGGAAAGTCCACAAACTAAACACTGAAAAGACAAGAGTAAAGTCTACAAGAAAGGTTTCTAAAAAAAAAACACTGAAAGGCAAAAGGAAAGTCTGTAAGTTCTTCAAAAATATCAAAAAACAGAAGAAAAGTCTATAAACTAAATGCAAAAAGACAAGAGGAAAGCCTACAAGAAAGGTCTCCAAAAAAAAATGCTAAAAGGCAAGAGGAAAGTTTGCAAGTTCTCCAAAAATATCAAAAAACAGAAGGAAAGTCCACAAACTAAACACTGAAAAGACAAGAGGAAGTCTACAAGAAAGGTCTTCAAAAAAAACACAAAAGGCAAAAGAAAAGTCTGCAAGTTCTCCAAAAATATTAAAAGACAAAAGAAAAGTCCACAAGAAAATTCAAAAACTCTTAAAACAAGAAGATCCACAAGTTTAGTAAAAGTCTACAAAGCTTACTAAAAAATGTCAAAAGATTAGAAGAAAGTTCACTTACTAATAAATGCTTAAAGACAAGAGAAAAGTCTACAAGAAGTTCTCCAAAAGCATTAAAGGACAAGAAGAAAGTTCACAAGACAGTTCTTCAAAACCATTAAAAACAAGAAAAATCCACAAGAAAATTCTTCAATGAACAAAAGATCTACAAAAAAGTTCACCAACCAATTCCAAAAGATTAGTAAAAGTCTACAAGGTTTACTAGAAAAGGTCAAAAGATAAGAAAGTTCACTTACTAATAAATGCTGAAAGACAAAAGAAAAATCTGCAAGAAAGCTCTTCAAAAACATCGAAAGACAAGAGGAAAGTCTGCAAGAAAGTTCTCCAAAAATGTCAAAAGATAGGAAGAAAGTGCACAAGAAAGTTCTTAAAAATACTGAGAAAGTTTTTCAACAATTTATCAAAAGATGCACCCAATTCTAAAAGATTACTAAAGTCTACAAGGTTTCTGAAATTTAGTAAACTTTAATATTATAAAAAAAAGGTTATTATTAAATAAAAAATTTTAAAATATGTTTGTTGATAATCTAGGTGATCTTCATTTCTATAGTATTCTAGTCGATCTAAAAATCTTATATTTCTATTTTTTAGATTTTGTTGTTTTTTAAATTTTTTTTATTTTTTTGCAATTTACAAATCTTTTTATTATATAATTTGGTCTTGTGATTTGGTAAATCTTTTTGTCAAATATATATATATTAGAAAATTAGAAAAACTCAATTTTTTTAAAAAAGTAAAAAAGGGCTGTTTTAATTAATAACACTCCATATATTCTAACAATAATATATAATAATATTTTTTAATTAAAATTAAAAAAATGATTTTATTTTAATAGTTTAAATTTAATTTGTTAAAACACAAAAATACTTCTAATTTTTGAACTCAATTTATTAATATTAAAAAATAAATTATTTTTATAAATCTGTTATATATATAACTTTATTTTGTACATAATTATTATAATTATCTTATTATTCTGTTATATTCATAGAGATTATTTACAACATATTTACTTTATTTAAAAAAAAATTATTTTTACAAATTCATTATATATTTTTAACTTATACATAATTATTATATTTAACCTATTATTTCATTATATTAAAAGATTATTTACAATACATTTATTTTAATAATAAAAAATAGAATTTTAATATTCAGTATATAGTGCACTGCAGTGTATTTGTATAATTAATTTATATAAAACAAAATGTAGTTTTTAATTTATTTTAGTATTAGAACAAAATTTAAAATTTTATTTAAGCATTAGTATATAAAATTTAGCAAATAATGTTTTTTATTAGAATCTCAAAAGTAGTTTCATAAGCAAAATTTTAAGATATTGGTGGTTTTTTTAAAAAAATT